GCATCTCATCTTGCTTCAAAATATTTCCATTTCCTTGACATTGGTCACATTCCTGAACCATCCGAAAAGAATCCTTGAAAAGGGTTGGCCAGTAAAACCCAGATTGAAGAACCTTGGCTGCTGTCCTAGTGGTTACACTCAAACTAACACACGATTATTGTGTATAGCTGAGGTGTCAATCCCACGAAGAATGCAAACTAGAAGAGAAATGTAAACTTTGATTCTGAACAGTAAGGTTCTAATGAGAAAAATCTGAGTTTTATCAATGAAATTGTAATAATAAATTGTGAAGATATGTTGAAGAATTCAATAAAAGAAATGACAAGGTTCCAGGAATCCTTCCTAAGTTTGTTGCCTTATTCCAATCTAGACCCAATTACTAATTTCACATCCCAAATCAGCAATTGGTAGATATCCAATCAAAGCAAGTGAATATCCTAATGTGATTGCCACTAATTACTCTTTAACTCCAACTCAAACATGCAAAGTCTATCTCATGAATTATCAAGAAGCAATAATATATTTAATAATAATATTGCAGTAATGGACAATTCTATAAGATAAATCTACCGAAATCAATTCATCTAACAACTTTGATATAAGAAAAGCTTGACTAGACTTATATGGAAAAGAAGATTGCAATCACTAGATTAAAAAATTCTAAGAGAAGAAGAAGATAAATAAAGTTGTTAATTAAATTCAAATCCTTCTTATTTACTTAGAGTAAATTAATAAGCAATGTTTAACAATCAATCCATACAGCTGAGTCAAAGATAGCAATAAGAACAACTAAACCTAGAAGCTCATCCTTTCACCTTGCTTGGAGTTTAGTTGGACATCAAGTTCATTCTTGAGGAAGGAAAAAAAAAGAAGCTCTCTCTAACAAAAACCTCACTGCCGTTTCCCCTCCTTGGTTAATGGTAGTGTGCCGAATGCACCAAATTAATTAACCTTACTAACCTAACTATTGAATTGTATAAAGGGCAAGCAAGGGTCGATCCCACTGGGAATGACTCGATTAATTTCTATATTCTAAAACAATAAAAACAACAGAAACTCAAATTAAACTCTAAACAGTAAACCTGACAATAATAATGAAAGGGGGTTTGCAATCAAGGGAAACTAAAGCAAAACAGAGAAATAAAATATCAGGTTAAATAATCAGTTCTCGGTTCAGTATCCACCTAAACATGCATTGGACAAAAAGTAACCGTAACACTGTTCTATCTCGTCATTATGGAACTACTGACCCTAGGAAACAACAAGCTCTGTTACTCAAATTCTCCCTTAGTTTGTCACTACTGAAACAAGCTCTTCGAGTAGATACTAACCCTTGAACAACCTAGAACAAGCTCTCTAAATTTAATTCAATGGCAGCCTTAAGAATTAGGAGAATAGATCAATCTAAGCAACAATCACGCAAGCTCGGATTATTTAACTTAGGTTATGTTATTCAAGACAATAGACCGAAAACTTGTCCATAATCAGCTATCATCATGTGTCACTCATTGAATAGAAAAAGGACAATTACGGATCACAATTCCTAATTCTAACAGGTAAATTCTGATTAAACAATTTAGCAGGCCAAAACTAAATCACTCAAACAAGAATCACAAACAATTAAAACAGAATAACATAAACAATTCCAATAAAAACGAGATTTAGAACCACGTTATTGAAGTTAAGTTACACCAATGACATGAAATTAGGCGTCAAAATCCCTTTGAACTGAAGAAGGAAATTGCCGCACATCTGATCAGAAAGCAAAAACTCTGAAAATTAAAACTCTACTCCTCTCCCCCTTTTCACCTAAAACTTCTAATTAAATACATGTGTTTTCCTTAATTCTTCCCCAAGAATCATGGAATTTCTTTCCTAGATGTTTCCTAAAGATACTTCCAGATTTGACAAAATCTTATCAGATATGGATTCCAGAATTCGTCTCCAGCTTGCACCAGGATTCTGCAATGTAAAGATCTTTTCTGGGCTCCGTCACCTCATAAAATTGTAGTCTAGGATGTGTTGATGAATATGGCTTTTGAATCATCTCCTTTCGATATCTGCACTCCGTTAGGCCCATTCGAAGATCCAATACTTACTAAGGAATCCTCTGTGACTAGGATTCCAGTCCGGTTTTCCAACAACTTTGAGAACCCAAAAAAACTCGGATTCTCACCCATAATACCTTCCTGAAAAGCTTGATTCGTCTACTTTAATTTCTCTGAAGAACACTTTTGTATCAAGGAATCTAGGTCCCTGAACTTGAAAAACCAGCACTGTCAGAATAACAACAATTCTGGAATTTCCTAACTTTTATCACTTATTTCTAAAGTCTATCAACTATGCCAAACTCACAAAATAAACTTCTACAACTCAAATAGGCATTAAAAAAAAAAAAAAAAAAAAAAAAAAAACATAATATGGAAGGAATAAAAATATCTAAATTACACTCTTATTAGTTAACCTTACACTCCTCAATAAAAAACATGTGTTTTTCTTAATTCTCCCCCAGGACTCACGGAAAATCTTTCTTAGACGTTTCCTAAAAGATAGACTTCCAGATTTGTCAAAATCTTATCGGATATGGAAAACAAAATTCGTCTCCAGCTTGCACCAGGATTCTTGCAATGAAAAAGATCTTTTCTAGGCTTGGTCACTTCATAAAAATTGTAGTCCCATATGTGTAGATGAATCTGGGCTTTTGAATCACCCACTTTAGATATTTGAAGCTCCAGTTAGGCCCGTTCGAATATTCAATACTCAGCCAGGAAATCCTTCTGCGACTAAGATTCCAGGTCCGGTTTTGCAACAACTACTGAGAACCCAAACGAACTTGGATTCTCGCCCATAATACCTTCCTGAAAATCTTGATTTGTCTACTTTAATTTCTCTGAAGAACACTTTTGCAATCAAGAAATTTAACTCCATGAAAAACCAGAAAATTGCGTCCACGTTGCAGCGCAAACCAGAATTTTTCTTCGTTTTATTCTTCCGAAACCATTCCGTAAATCCGATATGCATAGAATCTTCGTGCTTTCCTCATTATTAGCCTTTCCATATATTTTAAGTCCAAAATACCTGAAAATGCATCAAAATAAATCAATGTATTAAGAATGACGCTTAAGAATTATTAAGGCATAAATCCAGCCCTAAATCAATCTTAAATGCTAACAAATAAACACTAAAAAGATGCATTTTCTGACTCTCATCATAACCCCCAACCAGCTTTTTGCTAGTCTTTAGCAATTCAAGCAAAAGAAAGATGAAATGAGTTCCAAACTAGAAAATGAATAAAAACAAAACATAAAAAAAAAAAACTTAAAACAAGAACAAGCATGTTAGCGTTAATTCAAAAGTAATTCAGCTTTTTGTCTCAAAAGTTGCACATAACACACAACACATAGAATCATTAAATTTCACCCAAGCCCAAAAACAATTCAAGTATCAACCTCATAGTTGTTATTGACTCTTAACATCCATCTTACCACAAACCACAAATCCAAACACTTGGATTATTTTATGCACAACATTCATGAACACAAGTCTTGGCCTCTAAAACATATTAAATTTCGTGACATCAATCACAAATCAAACTCCATAAGCTCACTTTTCAAATCACTCTACACTAATGTAGAAAAAGCACACTGCATTGGATCAATAGGTCTTTAATTGGCTTGTAACGTAGGCTACGGTAAAGGTTAAGAAAGAACTGGAAGGATTAAACAAGTAAAAGAACTTAGTCTCTTAATCTTAAACACAACCTTTTAAGCACTTAATAACCTTACTTCAATACCTCATTCATAACCATTCACCTCCATTTACATTCTTTTCTCTTCTCCACAACCGCCAACTTATCTCCTTTAATGTTCTTGAGCTGTGGTAGTAAAAAAAAAGAAAAAATCATATTTCCACCCTTACTCTTCTTTAGTGCTCTTCAACAACTGCTTATAACTAAGTTCTCTTAAAAGAAAGGTAAGGATAAAATATTTTTAGGCTCATAAAGGTAAGTAAATGGGCTATCGAAAGAAACAAGGCTAATTTTTTCAAAAAAGGCTCAAACGGGTAACTAGTGATAAATATAACAAAGGAAAGCTTGAAAGGCTCAAACGGGTCAAAGATGGCCTACATCATATCCTAAACAATGTACATTCTAAGATTTCGCCTCGAGTGATTTTCAAATAAGTTCTAGAGCTTGTCAAGACCTCAAAAATATTCACAAAAACATTCGCACATTAAACTTTTCTAAATGTTTTAGACTAATCATGCAATCTTACCGCAAAGAAGAGTCTCCAACTAAATGAAAATCGACACTTAAAATTATTCTCAAACCAAAGTAAGATTTAACTTCTTCTAAAAGCTATATGTGATGCATGTTTACTACAACATGCAAAACTAGCAAGTGCACTAGTCACTCAAGTAATAAAGTGATGGGTAGGATATCGTTCCCATGAGGACTGGTAGCAAAGCACTAAGTTTCCTAACGTTATCAAGTTGAAGCTATCGAATTCTTTGGATTGGTGGGAGAAAATTGTAATGGAAAAGAAAACAAAAATGGAATTAAACAAAGAATTAAATCTTAAAAAAAAAGAAAGCAAATGAAACACAGAATATCAATTCAAGTAAAACGGGTAGGGTTTTGACTTCGTTTGGACTTTTATGGGTTAAACCTAAAAGTTACACTATTTCCACATTCATGCGCAATGGTTGNTCTTCACATTGTTTTGCTTCCTTTCACTCCCCACTTTTTCATCTAATTAGGAGTGAAAAGTCCATTTTACCCCTAATGAAGTTTTAAGGAATTTTCTTCACATTTGTCTAAAATAACTTCAAAGAAATCAAACTAAGGGTATTAGGGCAAAAATAAAATTATGTATCTTGATGTGGGTGTTACAAAAAATACTCAATTAAGAGGGATCAACCGGGGGTGCCAAAGAGATCTCTTCGGGCCTATCTTCAACTCATTCATGTTCCAAGTAGAGCTTTAACCTTTGGCCATTAACTCAAAATATACGACCGTCAGAAGGATCTTTAACTTCTACTACTCCATTGGGAAAAACACGCTTCACCATATAAGGTCTCGTCCATTGTGATCGCAATTTTCCCGGATGGAAGTGTAACCGAGAATCATAAAGAAAAACTGGATTTCCTTGTTCAAAATTCTTCCGGAGTATTTTCTTATAATGCACCACCTTCATTCTTGACTTTAAGTCCTTAGCATTATCATATGCATCGTCCCTCAACTCCGCAAGCTCACAAAGTTGCAATTTCCTTTCTTCATTGGAAGTTGTCAAGTCATAATTAAAATTTTGGATAGCCCAAAATGCTTTATGCTCTAGTTCTACTGGTAAGTGACATGCTTTGCCGAATACCAACCGATAAGGAGGTGCTCCAAGAACCGTCTTGTATGCTGTTTGGTACGCCCAAAGTGCATCCGATAGGCGCAACAACCAATCTTTTTTATTTGGATTTACCCTTTTTTCAAGTATTTGCTTAATCTCCCTATTCGCAAGTTTCGCTTGGCCATTAGTTTGTGGGTGGTAAGCTGTAGAAACCTTATGGGTGACTCCATACCTAAGCATCAAATCCTCAAAAGAACAGTTACAAAAATATGACCCTTGATCACTAATTATAACATGTGGAGTACCGTACCTAGATAAAATATGATCTTTGAGAAATTTAACAACAACTTTATTATCATTAGTACGGCAAGGTATGGCTTCAACCCATTTAGAAACATAATCAACAGCAAGTAAAATGTAAAGATATCCAAAAGAAGGTGGGAATGGTCCCATAAAATCGATCCCCCAACAATCAAAGATTCCCACCACTAAGATCAGATTGAGAGGCATCAGATGATGACGAGTCAATGAACCTAGCTTTTGACATCTTTCACATGAACAACAAAACTCATTAGTATTCTTAAACAAAGTAGGCCAATAAAAACCACATTGCAAATTTTTTGCTGCTCTCTTTTTAATAGAAAAATGACCACCACAAGCATAAGTATGACAAAAATTTAACACACTATTAATCTCTATATCCGGAATGCATCTTCTTATTATTTGATCGGGGCAATATTTTAAAAGCTAAGGATGATTCCAATAAAACATTTTTACCTCAGCAAAAAACTTATGCTTATCTTGTGCACTCCATGTAGATGGAACTTGAGGGGAAACCAAGTAATTTGCAATGTCGGCATACCATGGTGAGTTAGAAAGGACGGTAAATAAATTATCATCTGGAAAGGCTTCTCGAATGGGCAAAGCATCGGTATCATTCTTGAATTCCAAACAAGATAAATGGTCCACCACAACATTTTCTACTCCCTTCTTGTCCTTGATGGTCAAGCCGAATTCATGGAAAAGTAAAATCCAACGTACCAAATAAGCCTTAGCATCCATTTTTGAGAAAAGAAATTTAAGGGCGGAATGATTTGTGAATATAATGATAGGTGAACCAATTAAATAAGAGCGGAATTTGTCCAAAGCAAATACTACGGCTAGTAACTCTTTCTTGGTTGTGGTATACATCATTTGAGAATGATTCAAGGTTCTACAAGAATAGTAAATTACAAATGGTTTTCCCTCCCTTCTTTGTCCTAAAATAGCCCCTATAGCATAATCACTAGCATCACACATAATCTCAAAAGGCAAGGAAAAATCGGGTGATTGCATAATGGGGGCGGTTGAAAGCTTAGAAACAAGTGTCCTAAAGGCTTTCTCTCATTTGGGGCTCCACTTAAACTTGATGTCCTTCAACTAAAGGTTACATAAAGGTCTAGAGATAGCACTAAAATTTTGAATAAACCTCTTATAAAACCCGGCATGTCCTAGAAAAGATCTAACATCTTTAATGTTCATAGGAGTAGGTAATTTAGATATTGTTTTAATTTTTGATTTATCCACTTCTATCCCCTTTTTGGACACTGTATGGCCCAACACTATTCCGGATGACACCCTAAAATGGCACTTCTCCTAGTTGAGCACAAGCCCCTTTTCTTCACACCTACACAAAACATTTTTCAAATTAGATAAACATGAATCAAAAGAAGTTCCAAACATGGTTACATCATCCATAAACACTTCCATACATTTTTCAACCATGTCACTAAAAATACTCATCATGCATCTTTGAAAAGTAGCTGGTGCATTACACAAACCAATTGGCATTCTACGAAAAGAAAAGGTACCAAAAGCACAAGTAAAGGTGGTATTCTCTTGATCCTCTAAGGCAATCTCTATTTGGTAGTACCCCGAATGCCCATCTAAAAAGCAATAGAAAGGATGACCAGCCACACGTTCTAAGATTTGGTCAATAAATGGGAGGGGAAAAGGGTCTTTCCGAGTAGCCGAATTAAGTTTCCTATAGTCAATGCACATACGCCACCCGATCACTACCTTAGTTGGTACTAATACCCCTGCTTCATTTTCTACCATAGTCACCCTGACTTTCTTAAGGACTACTTGAGTTGGACTAATCCACTTACTATCGGATATCGAGTAAATGATTCCTACATCAAATAGTTTAATGACTTCTTTCTTAACTACCTCTTTCATAGTTGGATTTAGTATTCTTTGTGGGTCTCTACAAGGGTTAGCTCCTTCTTCTAGATAGATCCTATAGGAACAAATTAAAGGGTTAATACCTTTTATGTCGGTTAAGTCCAACCAAGTGCGGATTTATGCTTTCTTTGTTAGTAAACGGTCCCGCATACGCAGCGGAAACAACAACAAAAATAATAAAGGATCGTTTACATGAGCCAAGGTCAAGGGTATAATTTTACAATTTTATCATAATAAATAGAATCTGCAGAAAAAATAAACATGGGTTAAGAGAAACAAACGCACGTTGGAGGCTCCTCCAAATTTGTCGACGAATGTTTTGCTACCGATCCAAGTGTAGGATCGAACCTGCGTAGTCCACACGAAGATAATCTCAAAAGAACCAAAGAGGGATTTTCTAGATCCTCTTTGGCTTCAAGATTAAGAAGAAAGGAAAATCAATTAAACTGATTTCTAGGCAAAATGAATCTGCCGTGGGAGAGTTAATATGGGGCTGCTGTGTTTTGGTTTTACAAAGAAAATTGAACTCAAATTAATTAACACCATTCTTTTACATCTAACTTTTTCTTTTATAGTAAAACCAATTTGCCCTAATCCCATACGAAATAGGCTTGGGCTCCAACCCAAACGCCCCATGTTGCCAAACACTCCCAATTTAATATTTTTATTTTCCATCATTATCTCAATTAAAATCAATTAATATATATTTAAATATATATTAATATTTAACAATAATGATAATATATTTAAATATGTGCGAACACACAGTTAAACGTAATTTCACTTATATAATTTTTCTAACAAATTAAATAAAGACTACGACCTCAGCAAATTTAATTACAATGTGAAATTACCAAAATACCCTTTCGCCTTAAAAGACGAAAACGCCTTTCTTTCTTCATGGATCTTAAATTATCTTCTATGTGTGTGACCCATAGGCTCCTCATCATACCTGTAGTGTATAGGATTGCGATTAACACCAATTAATCGTCTCACTATACACAGACCAAGATTGGCCCTTAGCAAGGCATCATGGCCACCCGATAGATTCGGATTCAGCAAAGTAGCTACCTGTCAACGATATGGTTACCGTGCAATTCGATCCTTTCATCATACGTTATCTCGACGAGACGAAGGCATAGAAATAGTGTCAACCTTCGGTTACTCTCGATATTATTTATTCAGTTTCTGAACCAATGACCCGTATTATAAACTGGATAGAGCAACAACTCAATCCCACTGTGGCCACAGTTTTAGTGTCATTGCCATATACTGAATTGCGCCGTGAGATAACTTTCTCCCGTACCCGGGAGTGATAAATCCTCTGTCAATCCACCATAGTCTTGATACACTCCTTGATGCAGCCAATCACCACCGTATTGACAGCTCTGAAAAGAACTGCGTTAGGCTAGTGTCAAACTACACCAATCGGTGCACAAGGCGCTCCGGTGATCTCAAGTCTAAGGATCACATGCACCACCATTCGTTAGAGGATTTGTTCCATAGACACTGGGGTTACCATCCATATGGAATCCTCTGGTGGGTCAGTCCAGTGAACTTGCTGTGGTGTAATCGCCTACAACAAACACCCATGTGTTGCACCAGGTTGTCACCAAACAACCTTGACAAGTGAGATCAGTCACTACCTTTCGACAGGGTCGTTCAACACTATGATAGCCTTATCGTATTATCTGTGCCCTTACTTCAGAATAATACTGGGGCTATGGACGTTTCTAGAATGGCCACCATATGTGCTCATAGGGTTCTCACTATCAAGATTTGAAACACTTGATACCCTCGTCACAGTTCTACCATTCTAAGGACATATATCAATACATATTGCAATAATAATGATTTACGCAATATAGTATAAAATGCCTTGATTATTGATTAATGATCATTATTACAAAGAGTCAATTCCACAATAATTGATTGGCTCTAGGGCACCTACTTCAACATTCTTAACAAATTCAACAATTTATCACATTGCTCATCACTAAGTTCGGAAGAAACAATAATCGGAAAGGTATCACCTGGGCCTAAAAAGGCATGTTTGAGTCCTTTGGGCAGCGGAGCTAGATTAAGCGTTGGTGTCTCTTCAGAGGATGGTTTGGGTGGCTCCCTCTCCTTAGGCAACTCCTCAAAGCATGGCTGCCATGATTTCCTAATAAATCCTTGCGTCTTATCAAAAACATCAACAATGTTAACGGCATAGGAATAAGAATCATCAAAATCAAAATCTTTAAGAAGGAATTCCAAAGAATTAGAATTATCTTTAATGTACTTATCCTCCAAAATAAGCTCATCGATCATGTAAGTGTCAAAACACTCATCCTCTTCATGTGGTTGCCTTGAGACTCGAAAAACATTCACCTCTAGAGTCATATTTCCAAATGATAGTGTCATTAGACCATTCCTACAATTTATGAGGGCATTAGCAGTGGCAAGGAATGGTCTTCCAAGTATCAATGGAGTTTTTGACTCCGTATTCACAATGGAAATAGTATCTAGCACCAAAATGTCAATGGGATAATAGAATTTATCAATTTGCACTAAAACACCTTCCACAATACCTCTTGGTTTTCTTACCAATCGATCTACTAGTTGAAGTGTCACGGAAGTCGGTTTGATCTCACCTAGGCCAAGTTGTAAGTAAACGGAGTAGGGCATGAGATTCACACTTGCCCCCAAATCTAGTAATGTTTGACTACATGCTTTGTTTCCAATTTGGAAAGTTACTGTAGGGCAGCCCGGATCTTTATACTTGGGCGTTGTCTTGCTATCAAGTACAACACTTGCTTGTTCCTTTATGAATGTCGTCTTCTTCACATTGTGCCTCCTCTTGTGTGTGCATAGATCCTTGATAACTTTAGCATAATTCAGAACCTGTTTTATGACATGAAGAAAATGAAGGTTAATTTTAACTTGCTTAAGTTGTTCAAGTATCTCACCTTTTAATGCCGATTTTCTCTCTTTAGGTTTAAGGAGTGCTTGAGGGAAAGGCATCGGTATGGAATCACTAGGGGCATCTTGATCCTTGGGAGCTTCATCCTTGTTACTCATGGTGTTAGGAATCAAGTTTGATGGTGGAGTGGGTCCATCAATTTCCTTACCGCTGTGAATAATCATGGCATTGACCTCTTTAACATTTTGATTGTCAGCATTGGAGGTTTGTGCCATATGTTGTCCCTTTGGATTAGGTTGTGGCTGTGACGGAAAACGACCTTGTTCTTGAACCGTCAATAAATTGGTCAACTTGGTGAGTTGACTCTTTATCACCTTTTGTTCCTCTTTAACATTTTGTTGCTCCTCTAGCAACCGTTGGTTTATCTTGCCTTGCTGTTCCACATTTTGGGCATGTGCCTGAATAAATGACTTAAAAAACATCTTCCAAAGGTAAAGATTGTGGTGCATTAGAGGAAATTGGTTCTGGCCTCCATTGGGTATTAGATTGGGTAGAGGGTTGTGCATCGGTTCTCCAACTAAAATTAGGATGATTCTTCCAACCGGGATTGAATGTGTTAGAGTAGGGTGAGTATGTTTTCCTAAAGGGTATACCTAAAGTATTACACTCTTCCTTCATCTCTCTCAACTCAAAATAGGTTGGACAATCCCTAGGTATATGATCTACTCCATTACACATAAAACAAGGTTCATGGGACTTTACCCTAGCAACCGGTTTGGGGGCTTTAACATCCCTGGTTTTCAAAACCTCTATTTCCTTGGTCAAGACCTCTAAACAGGCTTTGAGATTATCCTCTTCCCTAAGTTGATAAATTCCAATGGTTTGGTTCCTCTTAGTACTTTGTAAGGCATTGGGTCCCATCCGAGTGTGGGCTTTTTTTGATAAATCATCTAGAAGTCTATAGCTTCATCGGGATCTTTGTGGAGAAAATCTCCATTACACATGGTTTCTACAAATTGTCTCTCCCTACTTAGAAGTCCACCATAGAAGTAACTAACTACTCGCCAACTCTCAAACCCATGCTGTGGACAAGAATTCAAAAGGTCTTTGTAATGTTCCCAAACTTGGTATAAGGTTTCACTCTCTTTTTGTGCAAAGTTTGAGATTTGTCTCTTGAGGTTATTGGTCTTATGGGCTAGGAAATATTTTTGGAAGAAGGCTTGTGTCATCTCATCCTAACTACCTATAGACCTAGGCCTTAATGAATACAACCAAACCTTAGCATCATGCTTAAGAGAAAAAAGGGAAAAACCTAAGTTTGATGGCATCATCGTGTCAGCCCTATTTTGAAAGGTTGCTACTACTTCCTCAAATTCCCTAATGTGGACATAAGGGTTTGCATTCTCTAATCCATGGAAAATTGGTAGCAATTGAATCATGCCTGACTTAAACTCAGGTAATTGAACATTAGGGGGGAACATGATACAAGATGGTGTGGCCGTTTGGCTAGGTTGCAAGTAATCCTTAAGTGTTCTACCCACATTCTCATTGTTATTATTGGCCATGTTATTAAATTCCTTAAATTCTCAATTGGGTGTGCACAATGATTTGATCTAGGTGAACTTTCACTATCTCAGGTCTTTTAATGAATCTACCTCGGTTATCTCTAAGTCTACGCATTCACCAAAGGAACTAAAGGAAGGGGGAAAAAGAAAATAAAAAACAAAAACAAAAACAAAATAAAATTAAAACAGAAAATCAAAACAAAGAGCAAAGCACAATATTACCGTCTTGTCTCAAAGTCGTCAATCTTCTTTGTAATTAAGCACATTCCCCGACAACGGCTCCAAAATTTGATTACGCTCAAACTAACACACGACTATTGCGTATAACTGAGGTGTTAACCCCACGAAGAATGCGAACTACAAGAGAAAATGTAAACATTAATTCTAAACAGTAAAGTTCTAATGAGAAAAACTTGAGTTTTATCAATGAAATTGTAATAATAAATTGTGAAAATATGTTGAAGAATTCAATAAGAGAAATGACAAGGTTCCAGGAATCCTTCCTAAGTTTGTTGCCTTATTCCCATCAAGACTCAATTGTTTAATCTCAATTACAAATTTCACGTCACAAATCAACAATTGCTAGATATCCAATCAGAGCACGTAAATATCCTAATGTAATTGCCATTAATTACTCTTTAACTCCAACTCAAACACGCAAAGTCTATCTTATGAATTATCAAGAAGCGACAATATATTTAATAATAATACTACAATAATGGACAATTCTATAAGATAGATCTGTCGGAATCAATCGCATCTAACAACTTTGATATAAGAAAAGCTTGACTAGACTTATATGGAGAAGAAGATTGCAATCACTGGATTAAGAAATTCTAAGAGAAGAAGAAGATAAATAAAGTTGTCAATTAAATTCAAATCCTTCTTATTTAATCAAAGAGTAAATTAATAAGCAATATTTAACAATCAATCCACACAACCGAGTCAAAGATAGAAATAAGAACAACTACACCTAGGAGCTCATCCTTTCGCCTTGCTTGGAGTTTAGTTGGACATGGAGTTCATTCTTGAGGAAGGGAAAAAAAATGAAAGCTCTCTCTAAAAAAAACTTAATTTTTCAGCAAACCCTAAATGTTCTATAAATAACTCAGGAAGTTCAAGGTGGTCTTTTCGGGCTAAAAATATCATTAAAGCCCTAAAAAGGTCAAGAGAAATCGTAAATAGAAAACAAGAAAATCGCGTCCGTGCCGCAACGCAAACTAGAATTTTTCTTCGTTTTATTCTTCCGAAACCATTCCTTAACTCTGGTATGCGTAGAATCTTCGTGCTTTCCTCATTATTAGCTTTTCCATCTATTTTAAGTCCAAAATACCTGAAAATGCATCAAAATAAATCAATGTATTAAGAATGACACTTAAGAATTATTAAGGCATAAATGTGTAATCCAGCCCTAAATCAATCTTAAATGCTAACAAATAAGCACTAATAAGATGCATTTTCTGACTTTCATCAATAAGGCATCATGCTTTCACCAGCAGTCCTCACAACACCTCTTTTTCTAAGATTCAAAATGCCAGACAGGAAGGCATTTGGCAAGAATGCTGATCCTTAGGATCATCTCTATGAGTTTAACAACCTCATAGAGCTATACCAAGTTTCAAACTTGGCAAAATGTCACTGCTTGGTAGTGACTCTAACTACCTATGTGAAACGTTAGATCAGATTGCTTCTACTAGGGTTTGTCAACACATGGTAGCATATGAGCTCATTATTCTTGAGACACTTCTAAGCAAATCAGAAGTTCTCAATGTCGCTCTGCTATTTGAACAACATATGACAAAAGAAGAATGAGTCTTTGCAGTCTTACATTGACATGTTTCATAGGGAACTGAATAAGGTGGCTAATACACCTAAACATTTAGTTTGAACTCTGATTATCTCCCTTACTCGCTTCTACAATCTCATAGAGAAATATCTGTGAATTGAAAACTCTGTGGCAGCTCTAAATCGCCACGACCTTGGGCCTTCGACTAGCGCTCCCAGTTGAAGAGATGAATTCTAGAGAGAGAGTAGAAGGAATGATCACAAATGGGCAAATGATGATCAGAGAAAGGGAAAGAAACAATGATTTGAGCCCAAGAAAGCTTATGCTCCTCTAACTCGTTGTGACAACTTACCTCCACTGAATTCATCGATCTCGATCATCTTGGCTAATTCAAAAGAGGCCAATTTGCTCGAAGATCCAGAGCCCATGAAGGCACCCCAGTCTAAGAGAAGCGATAGCAAATACTGTCGCTTCCACAAGGACATTGGACATCATACCGATGAGTATCGAGCTCTCAAGTAAGCCATTGAAGTGTAATATTCTCTCTAGCTAGTAATTCTTTGAGAAGTATATGACAAAATCTACTACATAACTTTTGAAAACATATATACATATAGGTATATAATGTAAAACCTGAAAGTTCTAATTTTAATTCATATAAATATATACACAAAATAACTAATATACGTTAATAAGTACAAGATAGTCTTGGACAGTGCTGCCAAACTCCTCCGCTTCCTGAAGTCCCACCCGACTGTAATCATCTCGTACCATCAAAAAAGTAAAATAACGGAGTGAGCACTAATTTCTCAGTAAGTAAACCAAACTGCACTACTGTTTTTCCTTCATTACTCGTATTTTGACTTTCCTTTTCTCACTTTAATATGTTTTAATATGCTTCATTCTTTTCTAGTATTCTGCATGCTTTTCTAGTATTATGCATTCTTTTCTATTATTCTGATTTGCTACTTACTGACGTGCAAGGACAATTGATAAAACTGTACATCGTCGAGCACATAAGAAATTCTAAATAGTGCAAGTAGCATAATACATATGCAGAATAATAAACTTTTTCTGAGAAATGAACTTTCTTTTCTTTTTTGTTTTCTGCCTCTTGTTATGTTTCTCTTTTTTCTCTTTTCTGTTTTCTGTTTCTTATTCTGTTTTCTGTTTCTTTGCTTTTTTGTTTTTTGTTTCTTATTTTATTTCTATTCTAGTTTGCTGATCAGACTAGGCTGAAGCATGGATTTGGAACCTTGGCCATGTGAGTGTATTCTGAAATTCTTTCTGGGTACAGTCCTCATCCACATGCACTACTGATGGACTGTACTAATTTTGTTCTACTATTATGAGGCCGCTCACTGATGGCGGCGTGCCTGTAAGTATTTTCTCCTGGGTATAGTCCTCATCCACATGCACTGCTGACGAACTGTATAAATTCTGTTTTTCTATGCTGAGGCCGCTCACTGATGGCGGCGTGCATGTGGGAATTTTCTATATCTCTGTCACTCACGGGTTCCCCATCGCAACAACCTTCTAACATAACATTCTGTAGAAAGAGAATAGAAAGAGATTCTATACACTTTTCTAAATAAATTTCCAAGCTATGGAAATTCTACACTTGCATTCTTTAGTAAATGAGAAAAATATACATATGTACATGTCAGCTTATAAGATCATAACATTTTCCCTTCTTTTCTTTTTCCATTCTTTGCAACATTTCTTTATGTCCCATTTACCAATACAAGGCTATATAAAGAATCATACTGGCACCAAATATGCAGATCAAGCCCATTCGTTGTTTGAGTTCTTTCACAGGTTCAAATACACAATGAGAATTCATTATGGATATGGATTATGTCGGACAGATATTCTACCATCTCTACTGTTAGCCATGCCATATCAAAGTAACACTTTAACTACATTTCTTTTCTAACACTTTCATGTGCTATTCAAGAAGTATAAAGGTCAAGTAACTAGAACACACACACTAAGGCCATCTCTCTCATGGACTACCATGACCAAGTGATAATAAAATTTTGGCAACACAAATGCACTCTTGAATACAAAATTTACACTTGGTTAAGCCCAACTTAATCTTTTCTACTTCAACCTTTGCCTTTCTGTAACCTTCTTTCGATAGGTTTAACAACTCATGCATGCATTTTCTTCTTTGGATTTTCATCAAACAATCATATACCATGCAAATTAAGTTCGCTACAATTCCACAATCTCTCTAAATCCCACAAATTTGACCAAAACTCACTACTAGCCTTAACCCTGGCCGAATTTAACAATCTCAACATTTCAAATTCTCACTAATTCTTCACAATTCCACAATTCATCACATCTCATGCCGTACTTCTCAGTGGCTGGAAATTTACACATCCATTAACATCAAAACAACTATAACTCTCACATACAATACATACAACATGCACAGAATCATTCTACACAGTCTTGCCTAAAATCAAGGCCAAAATTGGGTTTACTCTTACTTACAATGTGTGATATAACCTCCCTTTGCCTAAAATCTCTTCCTCTGAGACCTTAGTCACTATAAAAACTGT